ACAGTCCCTCTTACAGCAACAACACAACTTACATCTACAAATGAAACAAAGTCCACAATTCCTTCAAAATCTACAACAGATCATACAACTACAACTACAGTCCCTCTTACAGCAACAACACAACTTACATCTACAAATGAAACAAAGTCCACAATTCCTTCAAAATCTACAACAGATCATACAACTACAACTACAGTCCCTCTTACAGCAACAACACAACTTACATCTACAAATGAAACAAAGTCCACAATTCCTTCAAAATCTACAACAGATCATACAACTACAACTACAGTCCCTCTTACAGCAACAACAACACAACTTACATCTACAAATGAAACAAAGTCCACAATTCCTTCAAAATCTACAACAGATCATACAACTACAACTACAGTCCCTCTTACAGCAACAACAACACAACTTACATCTACAAATGAAACAAAGTCCACAATTCCTTCAAAATCTACAACAGATCATACAACTACAACTACAGTCCCTCTTATAACAACAACAACACAACTTACATCTACAAATGAAACAAAGTCCACAATTCCTTCAAAATCTACAACAGATCATACAACTACAACTACAGTCCCTCTTACAGCAACAACACAACTTAAATCTACAAATGAAACAGAGTCCACAATTCCTTCAAAATCTACAACAGATCATACAACTACAACTACAGTCCCTCTTACAGCAACAACACAACTTACATCTACAAATGAAACAAAGTCCACAATTCCTTCAAAATCTACAACAGATCATACAACTACAACTACAGTCCCTCTTACAGCAACAACACACAACTTACATCTACAAATGAAACAAAGTCCACAATTCCTTCAAAATCTACAACAGATCATACAACTACAACTACAGTCCCTCTTACAGCAACAACACAACTTACATCTACAAATGAAACAAAGTCCACAATTCCTTCAAAATCTACAACAGATCATACAACTACAACTACAGTCCCTCTTACAGCAACAACAACTTACATCTACAAATGAAACAAAGTCCACAATTCCTTCAAAATCTACAACAGATCATACAACTACAACTACAGTCCCTCTTACAGCAACAACACAACTTACATCTACAAATGAATCAAAGTCCACAATTCCTTCAAAATCTACAACAGATCATACAACTACAACTACAGTCCCTCTTACAGCAACAACAACACAACTTACATCTACAAATGAAACAAAGGCCACAACAATTCCTTCAAAATCTACAACAGATCATACAACTACAACTACAGTCCCTCTTACAGCAACAACACAACTTACATCTACAAATGAAACAAAGTCCACAATTCCTTCAAAATCTACAACAGATCATACAACTACAACTACAGTCCCTCTTACAGCAACAACAACACAACTTACATCTACAAATGAAACAAAGTCCACAATTCCTTCAAAATCTACAACAGATCATACAACTACAACTACAGTCCCTCTTACAGCAACAACAACACAACTTACATCTACAAATGAAACAAAGTCCACAATTCCTTCAAAATCTACAACAGATCATACAACTACAGTCCCTCTTACAGCAACAACAACACAACTTACATCTACAAATGAAACAAAGTCCACAATTCCTTCAAAATCTACAACAGATCATACAACTACAACTACAGTCCCTCTTACAGCAACAACACAACTTACATCTACAAATGAAACACAGTCCACAATTCCTTCAAAATCTACAACAGATCATACAACTACAACTACAGTCCCTCTTACAGCAACAACAACACAACTTACATCTACAAATGAAACAAAGTCCACAATTCCTTCAAAATCTACAACAGATCATACAACTACAACTACAGTCCCTCTTACAGCAACAACACAACTTACATCTACAAATGAAACAAAGTCCACAATTCCTTCAAAATCTACAACAGATCATACAACTACAACTACAGTCCCTCTTACAGCAACAACACAACTTACATCTACAAATGAAACAAAGTCCACAATTCCTTCAAAATCTACAACAGATCATACAACTACAACTACAGTCCCTCTTACAGCAACAACACAACTTACATCTACAAATGAAACACAGTCCACAATTCCTTCAAAATCTACAACAGATCATACAACTACAACTACAGTCCCTCTTACAGCAAAAACAACACAACTTACATCTACAAATGAAACAAAGTCCACAATTCCTTCAAAATCTACAACAGATCATACAACTACAACTACAGTCCCTCTTACAGCAACAACAACACAACTTACATCTACAAATGAAACAAAGTCCACAATTCCTTCAAAATCTACAACAGATCATACAACTACAGTCCCTCTTACAGCAACAACAACACAACTTACATCTACAAATGAAACAAAGTCCACAATTCCTTCAAAATCTACAACAGATCATACAACTACAACTACAGTCCCTCTTACAGCAACAACAACACAACTTACATCTACAAATGAAACAAAGTCCATAATTCCTTCAAAATCTACAACAGATCATACAACTACAGTCCCTCTTACAGCAACAACAACACAACTTACATCTACAAATGAAACAAAGTCCATAATTCCTTCAAAATCTACAACAGATCATACAACTACAGTCCCTCTTACAGCAACAACAACACAACTTACATCTACAAATGAAACACAGTCCATAATTCCTTCAAAATCTACAACAGATCATACAACTACAGTCCCTCTTACAGCAACAACAACACAACTTACATCTACAAATGAAACAAAGTCCACAATTCCTTCAAAATCTACAACAGATCATACAACTACAACTACAGTCCCTCTTACAGCAACAACACAACTTACATCTACAAATGAAACAAAGGCCACAATTCCTTCAAAATCTACAACAGATCATACAACTACAACTACAGTCCCTCTTACAGCAACAACACAACTTACATCTACAAATGAAACAAAGTCCACAATTCCTTCAAAATCTACAACAGATCATACAACTACAACTACAGTCCCTCTTACAGCAACAACACAACTTACATCTACAAATGAAACAAAGTCCACAATTCCTTCAAAATCTACAACAGATCATACAACTACAACTACAGTCCCTCTTACAGCAACAACACAACTTACATCTACAAATGAAACAAAGTCCACAATTCCTTCAAAATCTACAACAGATCATACAACTACAACTACAGTCCCTCTTACAGCAACAACACAACTTACATCTACAAATGAAACAAAGTCCACAATTCCTTCAAAATCTACAACAGATCATACAACTACAACTACAGTCCCTCTTACAGCAACAACACAACTTACATCTACAAATGAAACACAGTCCACAATTCCTTCAAAATCTACAACAGATCATACAACTACAACTACAGTCCCTCTTACAGCAACAACACAACTTACATCTACAAATGAAACAAAGTCCACAATTCCTTCAAAATCTACAACAGATCATACAACTACAACTACAGTCCCTCTTACAGCAACAACAACACAACTTACATCTACAAATGAAACAAAGTCCACAATTCCTTCAAAATCTACAACAGATCATACAACTACAACTACAGTCCCTCTTACAGCAACAACACAACTTACATCTACAAATGAAACAAAGTCCACAATTCCTTCAAAATCTACAACAGATCATACAACTACAACTACAGTCCCTCTTACAGCAACAACAACACAACTTACATCTACAAATGAAACAAAGTCCACAATTCCTTCAAAATCTACAACAGATCATACAACTACAACTACAGTCCCTCTTACAGCAACAACACAACTTACATCTACAAATGAAACACAGTCCACAATTCCTTCAAAATCTACAACAGATCATACAACAACAACTACAGTCCCTCTTACAGCAACAACACAACTTACATCTACAAATGAAACAAAGTCCACAATTCCTTCAAAATCTATAACAGATCATACAACTACAACTACAGTCCCTCTTACAGCAACAACACAACTTACATCTACAAATGAATCAAAGTCCACAATTCCTTCAAAATCTACAACAGATCATACAACTACAACTACAGTCCCTCTTACAGCAACAACACAACTTACATCTACAAATGAAACAAAGTCCATAATTCCTTCAAAATCTACAACAGATCATACAACTACAACTACAGTCCCTCTTACAGCAACAACACAACTTACATCTACAAATGAAACAAAGTCCACAATTCCTTCAAAATCTACAACAGATCATACAGCTACAACTACAGTCCCTCTTACAGCAACAACAACACAACTTACATCTACAAATGAAACAAAGTCCACAATTCCTTCAAAATCTACAACAGATCATACAACTACAACTACAGTCCCTCTTACAGCAACAACAACACAACTTACATCTACAAATGAATCAAAGTCCACAATTCCTTCAAAATCTACAACAGATCATACAACTACAACTACAGTCCCTCTTACAGCAACAACACAACTTACATCTACAAATGAAACAAAGTCCACAATTCCTTCAAAATCTACAACAGATCATAAAGCTACAACTACAGTCCCTCTTACAGCAACAACACAACTTACATCTACAAAAGAAACAAAGTCCACAATTCCTTCAAAATCTACAACAGATCATAAATCTACAACTACAGTCCCTCTTACAGCAACAACACAACTTACATCTACAAATGAAACAAAGTCCATAATTCCTTCAAAAACTACAACAGATCATACAACTACAACTACAGTCCCTCGTACAGCAACAACACAACTGACATCTACAAATGAAACAAAATCCACAATTCCTTCAAAATCTACAAAAGATCATACAACTACAACTACAGTCACTCTTATAACAACAACAACACAACTTACATCTACAAATGAAACAAAGTCCACAATTCCTTCAAAATCTACAACAGATCATACAACTACAACTACAGTCACTCTTATAACAACAACAACACAACTTACATCTACAAATGAAACAAAGTCCACAATTCCTTCAAAATCTACAACAGATCATACAACTACAACTACAGTCACTCTTATAACAACAACACAACTTACATCTACAACAGAACTCAGCATCCGAGAGCCCTCACAAACATCTGCAACTGGCTTCGGCACAACCACTCTACATGGAACAACGTCAGTGCATATGCTGATTACCAACCATCTGCAAACTCAGGTACTGTTACCTACACAGCAAACCACAAGCTGCACTGTACTTTTAAAGCTTGAGTTGTGTAACCAAGCAACAGAATTGTAATATTCAAGTGAAATTAAAAAAAAATATCTCTGCACTTCTTTTTACTGACATCACATTCCACATCACAACCCTCAGCAAGCAATGCCTTTACCTCATTCATCTTCATTCATTCAGCTTTCCCCTACGCATAGAACTGAGGGATCCAATGCTTTGTTCAACTCCATCCATTTCATTTCATCAGCCATGTTTGACACAAACAAGTACAACCAAGTATCCAGCTTTCCATAGAATCAGCAGGCCACAATGTACTGATAAGCATCAGCATCTTGTACCATACTTTGATCAAAGCCAAAATTCGCAACCACAGCTTTTAGAAATAAGTTCACCCTTGTTTACTCACCCATTGGATGAATTTCAGAATCCTTTCCAAAGTGTCGATACGTGTCACTCATGGCTTGATCATTCCAGATGTAGGCCTTGATTGGGCCTACCGCATGCCCGCATGTCCTTCTTGGGAGTTTTCTGACTTAATGTAGTGGCTTTCCTTCTTAAGCCACTTCCGTGAGGGAAAGTATACTTGACGCTACATCTGTTTCAACAAGACTTGAGCTTTATTGTAACAAAAAGGTGAAAACTTGAAGACAAATCAGTGCTCCGAAACAAACAGTGTTGTGTAATGTAGGTCTCCCTTCCCCTCTGCCCTTCTTCTTCTTCTTGGTTTGATATTTTATGCCGGTTGGCAATCCAACTTTCAGTGCATTACCGCCACCAACTGGACTGGAGTGTGAAGCACTTAAAAATGAAAACAATAATCAACTTATAAAAAAAAACTAACCATCTCCTATACTTCAAATTCTCCAGTCTATTCCTATTTCTTTGATATACTTCATTATCGCATTGTATATTTTTACTTGTTCTACGTGCCTTCCCAATAAACTTTCCATACTGAATACTCCCACACCCTATTTCCTTACTATCCTCTTAAGTACTAACCTTTCTTTTCCATATTTTTCACATTTACTTAAAACATGTTCAATTGTTTCTGCCTGACCACAATACAGTACATACATTTTCCCGTATCATGTTTTCCTATCTTTAACAAGGAATGATTTAATCGTGTGTGCCCTATTCTAACACGAGACAAAATTGTATCCTCTTTCCTATTCCTAAAAACACTTCTTCCATGTCCTACTTGCTTCTGAATACTATACAAGTTTCTACCCTTCCCCTCATTATCCCATTGTTCTTGCCATTTATTTTTTATGAATTCTTTTATTTTACTTTTAACTTAATTTTTTCTCAACGTCACTTGCACATTAACCTCATTATGTTTTACTAATTGCTTTGCTAATCTATCTACCACTTCATTTGCCTCCAGCCCCACATGAGCAGAAACCCATACAAACACTATTAAGCTTTCACTACTAATTCTTAGCAAACTAGCAAGTATCTCATATATAATGTCTTGCCTTAATACATTATTTCCACTAACGTTACTTGTGATTGCTGCAAACGAATCAGAACATATAGCTACTACTCCCCTCTGCCCTTGCCACATCACTTCCTGTTTAAGATGGCTACCTTCAGGAAGTCCCCAAAAAGTGGTTCAATTCCTTCATTTACCACAGGGCGGTGCAGACAGTAGTTACAAACAACCATGACGTTACGTAACATTATTAATAGCCTTATGGCTCCTAGAGGTTGTAAAATATAAAAATTTGCATGGCCTGTCCATATAGACATGGTCACACACAAAGACAAAACACCATCAAAAAAACACACATGACACTAAAATAATGGAATATACATGAACTAAACACTTATTATGAGACAAAACAACAGAGCGGAGGCAGCAAACCTGCTGTGGATCCGATTACCCGAAACCCTCTGTAACTCAGAGATTTTTAAAACAAATAATTAATTTGGCAAATAAATAAATGACGTAAATGTATTACCATAATTTTATAATGGAAGTTTTATTGTACAAATCAAAACGAGCGAATTTATAGTAACAAATAACGTTAATGTTCATCAGCGAGTCCACAAATGTCTTGGGTGTGCAGAGCATTCACAGCCTAATAAACCACACACCCCTGATATACATTTTTGTGATGCACCGATATGAACGTTTTGGCCGATACCGATAACCGATAATACTGTACATTCAAAAGCCGATGACCGATATACTGCCCGACAAATCTAAATTCAAATTTTGCTATACTTTGAGATCCTAAGTTGTAAACATTAGTTAATGCACTGTGAAAACATGAACACAAATATTTCACAACCTGAATTCCGGAAAAGTTGCGACGTTTTTTAAATTTGAATAAAATGAAAACTAAAAGACTTTCAAATCAAGACTGTTTTTCACAATAGAACATAGAGAACATAACAAATGTTCAAACTGAGCAATTTTACACTTTTATCCACTAAATGAGCTCATTTCAATTTTGACACCTGCTACAGGTCTCAAAATAGTTGGTTCTATTGTGAATAAAATATTGGCTCATGTGATTTGAAAGTCTCAAAGTTTTCATTTTATTCAAATTTAAAAAACGTCCCAATTTTCCGGAATTCTTGTTGTATTAATATTAACAAAGGCTATAGTTCATGTTAGTTAATGCATCAAATGAGACCTTATTGTAAAGCGTTAACAAAACGTCTATTGACTAACAACTTTTTTTAAATTCAATTAAAATAAAACACCTAAATAATGCAAACAATTCATTGGATAACATTGTGCTGCATATAGATGGATAAATAAAACGGAATCGCCCCCGCACGGAACCATATTGTTGATGACCAGTACTAGTAATTAATAACAATGCATCAATATTTTTGGAAAAAAAAAAAAAAACAAACATTTTTAATATGACAGTAATAGTGAACATCTTTATTATTAGGCTTACCGTTTCAAATGAGGTTCATCATTGTTGTTTGATTGCGTGCGCTGAAGCTGAAGAGAACGAGCACCGGGAACATTTACAGTACATTTATCCAAAATGACTTACAGTGCATTTTAATTACACATTTACATTCTTATTAGTTCTTGCTTTCCCTGGGAATCGAACTTATGACCTTGGCGTTGCAAGTGCCCACACTCTACTATTTGAGCTGTTCAGAACTTTTATATTAGAGATTAATCAGATGTTTATATCCCATAAATGTAATATTACGAGTTATATCCAGCCCGTTCTCATCACAAGGCGTCATATATGACGCTTTTGCCAAAGCGTAGACATCCAACACACATGGCACCCTTTAGCGTCAATATGAGACGCAGATATACATGGGCCAGAAGGCGCCTCCTAGTGGTGTAACCCTAACCCTACCCCAGACCTAAACCTACCCATAACCGAAGTGTGTTATATTGATGCTAAAGGGTGCCGTGCGATTAAACATGCATCACATTTAGTATTCATGCACATAGCTTCATTACAAAAAGTACAGCAATTATTCAATTACTCCTTCAATACATGTCTACATGAATAATATCATAAAATTCCATATGAATATCCCACATTTCTGTCCATTGTAAATGGTGGTGATTTTGTTGACCCCGTGGTAACTTAGTCAAATTGAACCATTTTCATTTTCTTTACAGGGAACAGTTTCAAGACAAGGAGTGACTCCGGATTCCAAGCCAATATCAATGGACACATCCGCAACATTTCCAACCTCTCAGGAAATAAATGACTCAATATCTTCTCCTGAGTCTTTAGCTCACGAACACCGGGACTCAACTTTGGGTTTATCCATTCAACCAGAGCTAAACGATCCCGAATCGGAAGCAACTACAATGACAGACACCTTGTCCTCAAAACCAACAGATCTAACCAGAGAAGGAAACGTTGATAACTCACAACAAGAACCCATGTTTAAAATGATCACCTTTGATTACCCGCTGGTGAATCAAGTCACAATCATGAGCGTCAAGACCAAACATTCGCACAAATCCACTCAAAGGTAAAGTGTGCCATTCGATTGGACAGAAACTCTCTGCGCTCTGCTCAAGAGATGATCATACAAGCAATGAACTACAAGAATATTCCAGTTATGTCAACGTCAGTCAGATCATATGATCGAGTGCTTATAACAACCCAACAAACAAACACTGAAATAAAAATAAGGGAAACAGGAAACACATTTTAAAGAACCGGTTTAAAGTTGAATTTCAGCAAAAAATCTAATATGACACAATCTGTATCATTTGTAGACTTATGTTATTAAGGTTGTAGTGATACAGTTTTATGCTAAAACCTGTCAATCACGCCATTTAAACCAGAAGACATTCCTCTTTTCTACATTTCACCCAGTACAGACTGAATAAAACGGATAACTGGAGTGTGTCTTGCAAGAAAATATTAATTCAGTCTTTCCCATTTTATTTATTGTATTATTTGCAGTTTCCTTGTGATTATCGGTTAAATTAGTAATTACTTTACTTAGTTTATCCTACACCATTTTTTTCATCAGAATGTTATGAATAGTATTGTAAAAAGGGCCACGAAATCGATTCGTGGTGAAGGTTTCAAGCGTGTTCCGTCTTTTCCAAGCAAAGTGTTTTTTAATTAAATGCAACACATTTAATCTATTAACTCGTTTCATCTGACTCCATAAAATGAAAAGGGTTTATCAATGATATCTGTGCATCATTTAATACATTAATGTTCGACTATTAACTCTAATGAAAATAAAGTCAAAGTCTGTTAGAATAGTCAAGTATAACAATTTATTATGTCAGGTAAATGTATTATTACGGTTCCACAAGATAATCAGAGCAAACCATCAATTGTTTTAGGACAAAGGAACTTTACCCAACATATTACATGAGCTGAGCCTTGAAGACACAACATCACGGGCTGATCTGAATACAGAAAGCAGCCCCGAGCTCTTAAGTAGCCAGACCTTAATATGTTAATCACCAGGTTTCAATGGAAAGTTACCATGTTTATCGGGGGCAGACTATTTGCTTGGTTGTAATTTGCATTCAGACAACAAGGCTTTGTGTGACAGTGATTCCTAAACTTCTTAAAAACCGTATTACCTTTTCTTTTATTACTTTGGGAATGAGACATTATTACCAGTCACCCTGAGACCATCAAAATGACTCCAAACAATCATTAGAGATGATCAGATTCACATTAAAACCATATTCTTGTGTGAGCTTTCAGTATCATTGACTGAGAGAGTGAAAGAGAGAAGATGCAGATAAGATGTTCAGAGAAAAGGGGGTAGGGTGTAAAATGTTAATTTGCAACCAATGCCTTTTGTCTTTAGAGGCCACTGGTCAGATATTTTCTCTTTAACCAGTTTTTCCAGACTTACAGTATTTTTTTTTTACTTTATTTAACCAGGAAAATCTCTGTGAGATTAAAAATCTCTTTCACAGGAGAGTCCTGGCCAAGAGCGAACAGCAGTCACAGTCACAACTTACAGACTGAAACAACAAATATACAATAAAAACACTTTCAATGAGTCTTCTTCGAGTGACCGAATAATAGATTTAATCGTTCCATAGGCACCGGAATATATGGTATGAATATTGTTGACTCCTATGACAAATTGCTTATGATTTAAAGCTTATGATTTTCAAACGTGGGGCTGAACTGTAGGATTCACATTACATGACTGGCTCTCTGTGAAATCAGGAGTGCTCACACCACACGACACAACGTGATTGATCCGCAACAGGAGGTAACGCACTACACCATTTGACAACAACTCAACAACTCTGTCACCCAACAATTCTATCTCGTCTACAAACCACGTTTTGTCACGAAAAAATCACGCCTTACAACGAACTGGAAAAAGACGCGAAGCAGCACGTGCGCCAATACCCAGCGGAGAAGACTGACCTCAACCCATGCCTTGCTCTGATTGGCTGTGGCTCATGACATCACTGAGGTTGAGGCGTGGGACAGCTCTGGATATCTAGCATGCTAGATATTTTTCTGGGCTCAGCGAGGCATCAGCGAGGCGTCTGCGATACGCCTGCGAGTGTCCGCGAGGCATCTGCGATCTGTCTGCGAGCGTCTGCGATACGCCTGCGAGTGTCCGCGAGGCATCTGCGATCTGTCTGCGAGTGTCCGCGAGGCGTCTGCGATAGGCCTGCGAGTGTCCGCGAGGCATCTGCGATCTGTCTGCGAGGCGTCTGCGATACGCCTGCGAGTGTCCGCGAGGCATCTGCGATCTGTCTGCGAGTGTCCGCGAGGCGTCTGCGATAGGCCTGCGAGTGTCCGCGAGGCATCTGCGATCTGTCTGCGAGCGTCTGCGAGGCGTCTGCGATACGCCTGCGAGTGTCCGCGAGGCATCTGCGATCTGTCTGCGAGCGTCCGCGAGGCGTCTGCGATAGGCCTGCGAGTGTCCGCGAGGCATCTGCGATCTGTCTGCGAGGCGTCTGCGATAGGCCTGCGAGTGTCTGCGAGGCGTCTGCGATAGGCCGGCGAGTGTCCGCGAGGCATCTGCGATCTGTCTGCGAGCGTCTGCGAGGCGTCTGCGATACGCCTGCGAGTGTCCGCGAGGCATCTGCGATCTGTCTGCCATCCGTCTGTGATGCCTCTGCGATCCTTCTGCGAGTGTCTGAGAGGCATCTGCGAAGAGTCTGCAATGCGCCTGTGAGGCGTCTGCGATCCGTCTGTGTGCGTCTGCGAGGTGTCTGTGATGCGACTGATGCGTCTGCGATCCTTCTGCGAGTGTCAGAGAGGCATCTGCGAAGCGTCTGCAATGCGCCTGCGAGGCGTCTGCGATCCATCTGTGTGCGTCTGCGTTGCGCCTGCGATGCATCTGCGATGTGTCTGCGATGCGTCTGTGAGGCATCTGCGATCCATCTGCGACCGCCTGTGAGGCATCTGCGATGCGTCTGCGATGCGCCTGCGATGCGCATGCGATGTGTCTGCGAGTCGCCTGCGTCTTTGATGCGTTGTTGGCTCTTTCATATATAACAGATTGGCGTGCGTTCAACGATTTGCAAATCGGGCTTAAAACTATGTAGTGTGAACAAGCCTTACGTTGCTTTGGACAAAAGTATCCACTAGTTTAATAAATGAATAAATGTATAGTATGCCCTATGAAATCTTTTTTTTTTTTTCTTTATGAGAAAAGCACATTCTGATTGACTACAGATTACGCTTCAATTGCAGACATATTTCACAGACAGGCTTTAAGTCTAGTCCCATGTTTGAGCTGTTTTAACTGAAAACATATCCGTGTTTTTAATATTTAAATGTGGCTTAATCCTGGCTTAATCTGAGGGCTTGAGGAGGTTTCCAAAGGACGAGTAAACATGGGTCTGCGATGCGTCTGCGATGCGTCCGCGATACGTCCACGATGCGTCTGCGATGCGTGTACGATCAGTCTGCGATGCGTCTGCGATGCGTGTACGATCAGTCTGCGATGCGTGTACGATCAGTCTGCGATGCGTCTGCGATGCGTCCGCGATGCGTGTACGATCCGTCTGTGAGCGTCTGCGATGCGTCCGCGATGCATCTGCGATGCGTCTACGAGGCGTCAATGCGTCTGCGATCCATCAGTGAGAGTCTGCGAGGCGTCTGCGATCAGTCTGTGAGCGTCTGCGATGCGTCTGCAATCCGTCAGTGAGAGTCTGTGAGCGTCTGCAATGCGTCTGCAATGTGTCTGCGAGGTATCTGCGAGGCGTCTGCGATGCGTCTGCGATGTGTCTGCGAGGTGTCTGCGATCAGTCTGTGAGCGTCTGCAATGCGTCTGCGATGCGTCTGCGAGGTATCTGCGAGGCGTCTGCAATGCGTCTGCGATGCGTCTGCAATGTGTCTGCGAGGCGTCTGTGAGGTGTCTGCGAGGCGTCACATATCATATATAAACTGGGAACATTTAAGAGTGATTGAATATGTATGTCGGCCTTAAAAAATTACACAAATAATGCTTAATTTCACCTTAAAAGTTGGTATTTTGCACACATATGTATACATAAAGGCAGTGAGCCTCCAATATATCTTTGCTATGGATCTAGAAAATTCATTTCCTCATCTTGATTGCCTACTTACAAAAAAAAAACTAGGGGATAACGGTCCAACGACTGAGCAAGATGGAGGCCATTTTGATATGCAATTTACAAGGTAACAAACTAAAAATTTTGCCTGGGTACCATTTTTTTTGGACTCAGCACCCTTGAAATATGTAGGTAGGCCGGTTCCCGACTTGTACCCATAAATGCTCCTCACTTCTTATAGAAGGCCATTCTTCTGAAATCCGTCTACCTTTCATTCCGCGCTAATGACGGATAATTAGCCTAAAATTTGATTTCTGCCATCATCTACTCACCCTCATATAGTGCATGTTCTCCATCAATGTGTATTCATCCACACAAATAAAGCAAATGAGGTCCAATGTGTTCGACTCACATTATATGATCACTTAAATTAAACAAGTGTGCAACACATGATCAACACACGTAATATACCTTTAAAAGTGATAAGGCAGCCTACAGAATGATGTTTTATAGTTAAATACTTTGAGGTAAGTACCTGCATCAAACTCTTAAGCGAGACACACCTTCTCACTGAACTTTCCATGGGAGATTTCGTCAAACCGCATGCTTAGGGAGGAATGCATTGTTGCAGAAGTAGACATATCCAGTTTGGCTAAAGATGGAATGCTATAATGAACAAAACCAATCAGAGAGACAAGTATGTGGGTTTGTGTCATGTGACTCGGAGCTAATAAAAACAACAGCTTTGAGGAGAGCATCAGACTTGACACAGGTTTATCAGGGGTCGCACAGCTTCATCTGTGTGTCGGATATTACATTCAGATAAGCAATGCTTTGGGTGAGT